AGGTGGTGGATCCTTCTCATCATTTAGGTCTCAGTTCAAGTAAGTACCTCTAGACAGCCCTTCCTTTTACTATTTCCATGTAAAGTAGTATAGCTGTGGGAAGTGCTTTGTGATCCTGGCAAATCACTTAGCTGCTTAATGCCTCAATTATTTCTTTTGGAAAAAGTAAATGAGATCATACACTTTGTAAGCTATTACATAGATGTCAGAAACTGATGTAATGAAAAACTTACCTTTTCAAACATGTTACTTAGAACCTCAGCATTCATAAAAGTTAGCCCCTTATCTATACCTCAAATGTGTTTTGCTTGCCACAATGTGTCAAACAAGATCTTTCTTTAGTCTCAGAAAAATGAGGTTCTTTTCTCCATGAAAATGATAGACCTCTTTTAGTAAATAGTTATGTTCCTCCTCTAAGACTAGAGCTTTAACTTCAGAAGGACTGTTTAGCCCGATTATCATATGCTGCTACAAAGTAAGGAATCCAGGTATAACTTTGTCTGGAATGATGACTGGACTCACTGGATGCTAGAATGCCATCAATAAACTCCTGACGTGTTATCTTCCCATCCTGGTCCTTGTCAATTCGCCGGAAGAAATCCATCACCCGAGACTTTTTGTGATTCATCCAACGCATGTACTTTTTCCTCCAGACATCGAAGTCAAAGTTGGCAAACTCCTTCAACTAGATAGAAATCAGAGGTGTTAACAAGATCTGTCATTCTGGCCCTGAAACCTGCCCAGAGCATACCCAAACCTACACTCAGTAAAGCCATGCAGGCCTCCCACAGGGGAACCAACTATATATATATATATATGTATGTATGTATATATATATATGTATGTATGTGTATATATATATGTATGTATATATATGTATGTGTATATATATGTATATATGTATATATATGTATGTTGCCTCTTTTTGTGAAGGAGCAATCTGGCTCCTTTACTTAAAGCTGTGACTATTTATTTATATGAGCCGTGGTATAATGCAGCAGCATGAGAAACAGTATCTGAGCCACCACCATGGGAAATGCGGAGAACAGAGAACAAGAATGCGCGGGGTCAGCCTTGCTTCCCCTTCGCACTTTCTCCAAGGATCACCTTCTTAAGTGTCAGGGCATAGACTCGATCCCAGAAAAGAAATGCTTATTAGTGCTCCTCACTTACGTGATTTGGAAAGAAACTATGATCACTCAGAGGCCCCTGTGAGGAGGCTCCGTGTTTCCCACCATTTTCTGAGATGAGATAACTAACTAGAGTTCTGGCTCAGAGCATTCAGAATCCACCCTGCACGCAAGCATGTTTCTTCAGAATGGCGCCAGAGAGGGCCAACTGCCTGTCTGACTTCCACACTAAGCATGTGGCTTTGATGGACAGCAGCAGGCCCATGATGTGGGCAGGCGATGTTTAGCTGCTTGGACTGTATTAGCGTAGTGACTCAGGATGGCTTTAACAGTGCAGCAGTTTCCCCTGGTCTTCAAACTCCAAAGTTGGAAGGAATAGGGG